TTTTTTTTTTTTTTTTTTTTTTTTTCGTTTCGTAATGGAAAACAGTGACGTGACGATTTTAAGCTAAGTATTTTATGTAGAGTAGCTACTCAGTATCATCTTAGAGTTTATTATAATTATGGATTAATAATTATGGACCCATAAATTCCCACTGCAACCGTCTGTTTGTCCTTCCTAAAGCTCGAGAACGAAGTTAGACAGATGAAAGTTGAAACCAGATATGGAAATCGTAGAGGCAGGAGGTCCCGATTAACTATATACGAACTTCCGGCACAAGCTGGAAGTTACGTTATTTCAATTCAAAAAGTTTTCCCTGAAAGGAGTTAGTTAGATGGCCGGCACGACTCTACTGTTAACAAGGAAAGTATGATGTACAGGGGTTAAATTAAAAAAAATATATTTTTATATATCATAACATGATCTTATTCTGAAAATATTAAATATGAATTTCTAAAATAACTTTAGTTTGCACGCTCTTCGTCACGAATGTGTTTCATAATGGTACGAGATAGAAAATAAAAAAATAAAAGTACGTTGCAAAGCCCTCTGAGACCTCATATCAAAATCTTTCCTGAAATGCGGTCCTCCAGGTTATTCATCATTTTTTTATCATGCCGACGAACATTTTATTAAAAATATGAAAATTTTTTACTTATTTAGTTTCAATAAAATTTTCATTTACTGAATAAATAATAATAATAATAATCATAATAAATCTGTTAAATTTCTAAGGATATTTAGATTAAAATTCTAATAATTAATATAAGTTTCGCATCGTATTTAAATTATCTCAAAAGAAAATAATTAAAATCGAAACAATAGTTCTCAATTTAAGCCAAAGTAACAATTAATTACTCTCTGTTTGTTATTTTTCATTGTGAAGAATGCATTTTTTCTATCCATCACAACCCATTTCTTCTTTTGATTACTTTCATTTGAAAGTGTAAAGTTTTATATAAGTGAAAGGATCTCAATTAAAAGATAAGTGTAAATCCATCTTCAATATTCAAAAAACTTATTATTAATTTTAGAATTTTTCAATTTTCAGGTCAAGAGATCCAAAAGGGAAGTTTTTTTTTATTTTTTAACATTCAATGATTGATTATTTATAATTTCGATTTATATATCAGGTGACGAATCAATCGAAAATGCTTCAAAGACACAGCATGATTGTCATTTTAGTGTTTTAGAATTGCTGATTGAAAACTTTGTGGAAAATTGGATTTGCAAATTGCACTGGAAGATCTCAATACTTGATTATAGAAGAAAATACCATTTGATTGGATATATTTGCCTGTCTTATCTCTTATAAATTGCAAACAATGTACAGAATTAATTTTTAATTTCAATTGGATAGTGCTTCAGCATTGTTGTGCCACCAATGATAAAACTTTACTGTTTTCCTCACTTGGATATGGTGTACCAATTCCAGTTCCATAACATTCTAAATGTATGAATACAGAATTTCAAAGATGATTTTGCATATCTCAACAATATTTGTATTTGTAAATGTGGTGATTCCAGTTTTTCCCATAATGGCGATTCTGCCTAGTCTTTACGGGGTTTCTGGGCAAACGAAAAACCCACGGAGGAGGGTGAGACCTTGACGGTGGTTCCGTGGCTTCCTATAGAATTTATATTCTGTGACTAACATCAACCAGCAGAAACTTTAATATTCTTAAAGTTAAAGAACATTTTCAAGACTAAAACAAAAATTTAATTATATTTTTAAATATAATGTAATTAAATTTTTTGTTTTAGTTTTGAAAATGTTCTTTAACTTTAAGAATATTAATTTCTTAAGTCTTCTTAAGCCATCAAATATATTACATTAACATAGGCCACGGAAATAGAAAACAGGAAAAATCATTTTTTTTTCTGCATTTGGCATTGTAACAAGATAATGAATTAAATTAAAAATTTTTTATAATTATATATTTAACATTTTTAATTTATTGTTGGGGCTGTATATTGAGGTTTGCATTTTACTAGTCTATATATAATCGAGATGGGTTGATAATAATAATAATAAGCGAAGAGCCCAAACAATTAGGAATTGAAACTTGAAATTTGGTATACAGTTAGGTTACATCATGAGAATGCATACTAAGAAGGGATTTTTGGAAATTCTCCCTCCTGCAGGGGAAGAGAGTTAATGATTATCCTGAAGAACTCTGCTTCTACTGTACTATTTTAGATGCGTTTTTTGCAGGAAATCAAACATATTTTTAGATCCATCTAAAAATTCTTTAAGTCTCAGAAGAGGGGGAACTAATTCTTGCACCCAGGTAAGATTGGCTATAATCTAATAATCTTAATCTTTGCTATTGTTACTGTTTGCAGAAGCAACAGTTCATCTCCTAGTTTCTCATATTTCAGAGGAAAAAATTAAATTTTTATTAGCATTATTTCATTAAAAAATTTTTTTAATGAAATATTTACTGGGCCAAGAGCAATTTCCATATCCACAGGCCATGCTCTATTTCCATTACACATATATGGCTAACATGTTGCTCCTAACACAGCACAGATTTCAATGTATAATGTGTGTTGATATTTGCAACACATGGTGCTTAATGTGTTAAATCAGAAATTTCTTTGTTATTGTTGTTAAGAATAAATATTTAATAACCTAAACAAATTCACATTACATGACAAATGACATTGACAATGATTACAATAATCAGTATCTAACTGATCTAAACCTTGGTGATCCAAAATTTCAGTTAATCCAAGTAGGGAGGAATCCTAAGTCTCTCCCCCCCCCACAAAATGCAACCCATTGTGCTTACCTCACACCACTCAGAATACATGGTATGTATTCATGCTCTGTATGAGCCTCAAGATAAGTTTAATTTCTATTCCAATAACAAGTTTTAAAGATTAGTCTCCTATCTCCTTCTTCCTATATGTCAAACAATTATTCAGAGAAAAAAGTTGAAAACCCTTTGCTTACACAGGTTTATCATTTCTCAAAAACCTGACTGATGTCAGTCATCCTGATATAATACCACAGACTCATCCAACAACAGTATGTTGAGAAACCCCATATTAACATTAAAAATATATTGGAAAAAAGAATTTCAGATAATCCAAAATACTTGCTATTCTGAACAGGTTCAAATTAGTAAATCATATGATAATCATCAAATTAGATCACACTATTATCTTGATAATAGTGTGTCTAATTTAGAAGATAAGCATAATATGAATTCAAATCAATAATTTAAAAAAAAAGTTTTTTGTCTATTTTTTAATTATTTCTGCTCTATGGACACTAAGGCCTTTTTAGCAAGCACATTATGGTTTTGGCCAAGCCTACAATGAAGACAACTGAGTTGTGACGGGCAAGACCCTACACATCTGGATAAACCACCTTAAGCAATTCCTGGGGCTTTTGACTTGTCCAGATTCAATCCTGGGTCTCCAGAGCGGTAAAGCTGCTACCTTAAATGCTCAGCCATCCAGCCATTAAATTCTTTGTATAATTTGCTAAGTCAGCAATTTATACATTTTAAATCAAATCTTTAGTATTAATTAAATCTTAGCCATTATAAACTTATTTTTTAATAAAATTTATAATTTGTTATAAATATATTGTTGTATTAACTATTGTCATTTAATTCCATTAACAAATAAAAATCACATTCATGGAACTAATCTCAAAGTATGCCATCAATTTCTGAACACTAGCAGATCACTTGGAAACTCTAATGCAGAGCTTCTTAAAGTGGGGTCTGTGAGATGGCCTCAGGTAGTTAGAACAAAAGCGACATTGTCATTAAATAAAATTGTTTCAGGGGTAATATATTATTTTATATATATGATATGAAAAAAATTGAAAAAATGAAAATGCAGTGGAAATAAAAAGTATACTATACAGATTTAATCAATGGAACAGGAGTTACAGAGTGATGGGTATACTGTACACGAGAGACCATGAGTTAGAAGAATTGTCCTCAGGAGGCCATGACTCAAAACAGGTTAAGTACTACTATAATGAATTGGGATGGTTGTTATTTATAAAAATTTTGTTATATTTTACTTTACTCAAATAATTTGGAGAAAAAGGAAAATCATCTGGTATCCTGACATTTATGTTGCTTTAAAGTTATAAATATTATTATTAAATATAATTTTTTAATATCATTTGCAATTAGTACTAATCATAACACTTTACTCATATGATAAACAATATTTTAAGCAATGTGTAATTTAATGTTTGTTTATTTACATTTATCCCACAAAAAGTGTATGTACTGTACCTTGTACTAAATATTTTTGTTATTCTGACAAATAACATATTGTAGATATAAAAGTTGTCTATATAAAATTTTTATTTTCTGTATATGACTGAAAAAAATTAGACAAATGCAATTATTGTACTTACAAATTATTTTTTATTGTAAGATAAATATATCTAACAAAAATAAACATGAAAAACTTCAAGTACTCTTAAATTATATATAAATTCATAATTATGCATGGGAGATTTTTTCAATACAAATTCCAGTTTCTTCTTTTAATTATCAGTGTCAAAATTTAATTATTATTTTATAAATCGGTGATAAATGCAAATTATTTATATTTTCTAAATATTAAATTTTTTTAATATTTTAATGTAAAACTTGTCTTCTAAATTAATAATAAAATTTTCATTTCACAAAATTGTATATATATTTTTGAATGCTTTTGAAAAATTTTCAAACTGAAATTTATGGATACATTATTTCAATATAATAATCAACATTAACTCCAACTTCTTATAAAACATTTATGAGTTTGTTATTCTTAACTAAAACAATAAATTCATGAATTATAAACAATTTTATAAACATCCTTAATGTTTATAAAATTGTTATTTTGTTTAGAAATTTCTTTCTTCTTTTACTAAATGTAATGAACATAGAGATTATTTTAGTAAATAAAACAATTTTACAAATGTCTCAACAAATTTTAGCTGATAATGAAACTTCACTCTCTTTCATCTTTTACACTAGATCCTGAAATATAAAATAAATTTATGTTAATTTTTTAAAATACTTTAAAAATTTAATACAGTACTAAAATTTATAGTAATTATAGATATTGTTATATGAAGGCGGATTGATAAATAAGGTCTCCATTTTTTATAATACTTGTTCAGAAAGAAGTAGCTAATGTGACTAGTTTTAAATAGTAATAAAAATCATGTATTTTATGTTGAAAAATAAATATTTATGATTGATTTATTGATATTTGATATTTATGACCTTTTAGAATGACAATTTTTTTAGACATTCAATCATTTTTGCATTCTGTACATGAAAAAACTTTCTGGTTTAGCCTTGATCATATTCATACAACAGCTTGTTGAATTTCAGGATCCAATGAATTATTGACCTTTCAATGCCACCAGAGGAGAATGTGAAACAATGTGTAGCTTTAATTCTTAAGCATATTTACTGTGTTTTTTTAGTGTAGTATAAATTTACATAGTAAAGGCAGAAAGAATTATCTTTTTCTTGCACTATGAGAATATGTCCAAAACACTGTGAATTTCAATAGATACACAACTTTTTAATGCTAAGATTTCAATCATTAATCACTATTTTCTATGAAATGAAGAAGATGAATTCAAGCTTAAACATGACTGCAACAAACAACACAGAACAATGAACTAAGACTGCATATACAGATTAGATATTTCTGGTTATTATATGATTGTAGTTGTAAGTTTATCTAAACAGTTTGCAGAATGCTATGGTAGGGAACCTATTTATCAATCAACTCTTCTATAATAGATTTTAGTCCTTTCATATCTGTTACTGATAATTTCTTTTACATTTTTTACAATCTAGTAAATTGACAGAAAAAAGAAAAACAATTTATCTTTCTATAGTCTTAATTTTATTAATTATAAAAAGAAAATATTACATAATATAAAATCAGTATAAAATTTGTATATAATTACTTATATGTGTAGTAAATATCATTGGTATCATAATCCAACATTTCATTGAACTTTTTAAAATTCTGAAATATTTTAATGTTAAATTTATTTTGCTGGTCAATTGTTTTAAACTGACAATATTTTGTATTAAATTTTTTTTTTTTTTTTTAATTTCTTCAGACCAAAGATTTGATCTCAAGATGGTAGTAACAGACCCAGCTGATCTGGCCATGGCCAGACCACTTTTTGCTACCAACATTACAAATACAGTTCTAATTTCAAATTACCCACTAGCAGTCAGACCAAACCAATGGAATGTCTAATTGAAAAGTCTTTTTCCATAGGGAGAGAGTTATCTCTAAAGGCTGGGTTATAAACTCCATTTGTTATCTATACGGCTGTACCATATTCCATAAAAAAAAGTTTGGATGCATCAAACTTTTACAGTTTAGTATGGAGAATCTTTAGACTACACATGTGCCATGTTGCCTTTCAATCAGAAGTTGAAAGCTGGAAGTAGCTGACGAGACATGGACAGATCAAGAACACAATAGAAATGGAATGACAAAAATATGTGGCATGTTGCATTATTGGAAATTATCACAGGAGTTTATATCATTAATAAAAAGCAGAAGTTTATTATTATTAAGCAGGCAGTGTCAACAATGGTAAGTGAACCCCATCAATATAAACAGACCACCAGTCAGATGTTTATGTTTGGCTGTCAACATATCAATAATAATATTTTGATTTACTACAGCTTTCTTAGTTTCCTTTTTTACAGTTTGATAGTTTTACATAACCTTGAATTTATATATGTCAAAATTATCTTATATAAAAAGAAAAAAATGTGAAAATTCAATATATGTCATGATCAGAATGTATTATAAAATTTGAATAAATATAAACAGAATTAGTAGAATGAATTGTAAAAAATAATGTCACCAATCAGCACTTTACTTTGTTCAACCAATATTTTAGAAATATTTATCTTAAATATAAAAAACCTCATAGTAATTTTTAGATCACCAGTAGATCTTATACATTTTTTCTTAAGTGATGGTTGAATTCTGAAATGTTTATGTATGCAAATGTAATTTATTCACCATAAATGTGGTTTACCAAATAAAATAAAACAACATTTTTTGGAATACCATTCAGTTTTATTATTATTCATGGAATTCATTCATAATTCCCTAAAAACTCTAAAATGGCTACTTTAAAATTACTTTTTTCAGTAACATTCATTTTCTTTATTATTTCAGTTATGTTTGTAGAAATTGAATATGCAAATATCTGATCACTTGTGTGACTGTCACTGCTGCAAAGTTGCCAGAACTGGCTGAATAGTGGTTAAAGCATTCATTATGCTCCAGATCATTGGCAGTTTCCATCTGTCTACTTCTCTTTCCTTTTATTCACATGATACCATCAGCTAGTGGTATCATAGATCTGACATTGTCACCTGTCAATGTAGATGAGGTACCATCATTGGATGTATTACAACTCTCAGTCCTCTCTGACAATGAACAAGATGTCCTGTCTCCTGATGTACACATGGCATCTTATTCATTGTCTGAAACATCCAATTTGTTTAGTACATCAAATGTACTTCAGGATGATATGTCTACATCCTGAGTCTGTCTTCTAAGAGAAAAGTCTGTATGACTTTTGTCTTATAAGAAAGGACATTCTTGTATGACTTGTAGTAATAGCTCATCACCTAAATATTCAATGGTGTTTGCCATAATACTAGAGCTTTGCTATTGATGCCAGTGATACAGCATTGCTAGGTTGAGCAAAAACAAAAAAACAGATTAGGTCAAATGTAACTTTTGACTGATTCATGTTACTTTTGAACAATATAAAATTTAAAGTAAGAGTTACATTGGTCATAAAGAAAACAAAAAAATAAATGAATATATAATTATAGTGTAGATCTGGCAACATCAAAGAGATATTTTCTCCAATTTACATCAAGAGTGCACATGCATACAGTGGTCTGCCTCATACATTGTAAAAATGTTTGGTTCCTTATGGATACAGACTTATGGTATTTTATAACTACTGCCATAAGTACTATCATTGCAAACACTTATGGATACAGATACAGTTATGATATAGAGTTTATAACCAAGTCCTTAAAGCATTGCTTTCCCCCCATCCTGGAAACACAAATTTATACCAAGGGAAATTTAGAAATTAGAAAACTTTCGAAATAACTAGGTAAGTATTAAAAGTAAAATCTATTATTATTATTATTATGTGTTGGGTTTAGTGGGTTATACTCGGTACACACCGGTGGCTGTGTACTATGCCGGACCAGAGTCAAGGCATAGCAACCAAAACAAAACTAAAATTAAATGTGTGTGTCAGTGTCAGTATTAAGAAATTTCCTAACAATATGGCATGTATTCAATATAGTGGCCTTCTGTAGTGTGATGTATGTATTTCTACTCAATTGTAATGTTCCCAGGCTTTTGTGTAGCATGTGTGGTATCACACCTGTACAGGAGAGAACGACAGGTACAATAACTACTCTATCCATCCTCCACAGATGGCTTATTTCCTGGGCGAGTTCTGTGTACTTGCTAATTTTTTGAGTGCATGTGTTTTGCATATTGTGAGTGTTTGGAATGGCTATGTCTATAATGTATGTGATTTTATTGTGTTTGTCAA